ATTTCAGAGAATTCCATTCCTCATCAGTGACCCTGGACTAGACCATTCCAAGCTTTTACTTGTTAAACAAATGTTTAAACAACTTATTCAATGAAGCTTTATGTGTTTAATACTAATGTAACCTAAATTTCTCTCACAGTGATCACCATAAAGCAGAATTTAGAAAGGACATATAGTAGAGAGAGAGAGAATTATAAGCTCTGAGTTATACTTGATGAGAGTTGTTTTTGTAAGGAGATTTGTGACTTTATTGAAAAATACAAGTGGAATTGAAAGAGCAGATAACATAAATGCATTTATGAATATAGGCCTCCCTCAAAGTCATACAACAACTGAAGAGGCAAGAAGAGCAAGTGATTCCTGTTTGAGTGATACAAAGCAAATTAACTGTGATAATCAGGCTGAAGTAAGGTTGTTTGTGACATCTGACTGTATGAAAAGCCAGGAGGGTATGGAAAAATGGTTGTTTTATGAAATTGTTGTTTTTATGAAATATATGAGTCATTAAGTTGGTTATTGTTATTGCAATTGATGTTGGTGCTCATATTTTTCAGTTTTATAGTGTTATTGATTGAAATTACTCAAAACCTTAACATATCAAATGATACAATTGTAGAACAGTACCAGAACAAAAAAGTGGTTCTGATTTAAATTGATTGTTTTTATAATCAGTAGGATTTATTTTATTTTAATAGTGTAAACTGCTTCAACTAATTACGCTAGTAATGTATTTTGTATTGAATGTAATTGGTGTAGAATTGTTTTTTATGAACTACATATAAATGTATGCTAATTAATTTTATAACTTGGTCACAGCATTTAAAAGAAATAGATTAAATAATGTTTTATGAACATCCTCAAATACCTTATTGAATCATATGTTGAAAACCATGTTTCTAGAAGAACCTACGAGAACACATCACCATGATGAAATTTATGCTCACTCACACTGTTATTTTCTCTCCCCCCCCCCCCTCCATCCACCAGAAACACAGAATATGCAGGAACTTATTGCTTTCATGATTTGAGACAGACAGGAGTAAAACTTCCTTACAATCAAGAGCCAACTTTTTGTGTAGTATCAATTAGTACTTATTAAGTCTTTGATTACATTTTCATAACAACACATTCAAAATCCTGGAGGCTAAAATGGTTACCTTATTGTAGGGATCAAACATGACTTTTAGATCATAATTCGGAAACTTTGATTAAAGAATTTCGGGTAATCACATGAAATGCGGTCTTCAACAAATGTACAGTTTTTATACGCTAAAATGAGTTATGTAGACCGTAAATACTAATATTTGATATGAGAAAATGGCATGTTGGCTAAAGCAGCATCACTTTATGAAGATGTTGACTAGTATTTTTGTCATTTCACAAAAATTGATTATTGATTTTTTTTGTATCAGAAGGTGTTTTTTGTCTGTACTTGCTATATAAAGCATTAAAACAAATTTAGTGACTTACAAGTTAATGTTGCCTACTGACATTTGTAAAGTTTCTCCTTTTGTTGAGTTGTTTTTTTTATCTTTCACTGATGACAATAGAAAGCTTAAATATTTTTTTATGCATCAAATGTGGCCTTTTTTAAATTTTATTTTAGAAGTAAAACCTGTAACAGCAGCAGAAACTACTTCACCTCATCGGCCCACCTCTCTATTTTCACCTACTCATACTGTCCAGGTAAGATATTGGACATGACTTTGAGTATGTACTCCAGTCCCTAACATTCTTATTTTGTGCATAACTTACAAGTTATTTTTCCTATAATTTAAAATCAGATCTTGATGAAACCAATTCTGAGCTATCACTGTTCATGAGAAGCAACTGCTGCATGGGTGTTGGGGTGCCAAATTTTCCAATGTTGGTGCTGATTTAACAAATTTACCAAATATAGTTAGGTTTTTAGTGTGTAGCATATGATTACCATGTTAGTAATAGGCTTCCATTTCCACCATACAACAAAGTAATGTTATGCATTTGTAGCTGCTATTGTACATTATGAGTAAAGACTGCAATGCTCTGACATATGTGCAGAAAGAAAAGTTAGTTTTGTGCACTATTAAAGGAATTTTAAGCTACCACCTAGAACACAGAATGCTTACTAACACCTGTAGTTGCTGTGGAATAGATGTAAATATCATAGTACTTGTACTGCATTTAATGTATTTAGTCACATAGTATGATTTGGGCATTTTTCTACGAGTTAAAAACTGCCCGAGGCCAACCATTGTATGATCTAACATTTCTTTCACTAGCACTAGATCTGTCTTTGAACATAAATTTGAAAAGTTGACTTGGACTCATGATGATGGACATTAGTGTGAACTCTGGATATCTAATAAAAGAAAATTTTGATTAAATTTTATGTAAACATTTAAAGATAAAAGTATAATATGACTAATGTTTTTGTAATATTATTTTCATGAACCTGTGTACATTCATCGTAAAACTTTGATATCAATAAGTACATATCTTTCATAAATGCATATTGAGTATTTATTGTTTACTTTTTTTTCTACATTTGTTTGGCTATTTTAACATGCGAAACCCAATTGAGTGCATTGGTTTGTTTTTTGCCTAGATCCATTTCTGCTACCAGTAGTGCATGGCAATTTTTATTGGAATAAACACTGAATACAAGTCTAGATCAATAACATGTTCTTGTTGTTCAACATTTCAAGTGCTAATAATATTATGACAGGTTCTTAAATCTGGAACCAATAATATAACAAATAAAACCATCCAATATAGAAATTAGTTTACTTTATCTAATAATGAATTTTAAGATTTTGTTGTTGTTCAAAGTTCCTTATCATTCAATATGTAAAACAGTCTTATTAAACTAATAATTGAAAGGATATTGATATTCAGTTGTCATATAATATTATTTACTGTCATCAAAAATTACATGCTTTCAGTTATTATTATGTCTGTTATCTAAAATCAGATGCAGTTGGCTAATGTTATGTCATCTAAAATCACATGCTGTCAGCTAAGCTTATGTTTAAAATCATATGCATTCAGCTATTTTTATGTCTGTCATCTAAAATCATATACTGTCAGCTATTGCTGTGTCTATTATCTAAAATAACATACTTTCAGCTCTTGGTATATCATATCTTAAATCATATGCAATCAACTACTGCTGTCTGTCAACTAAAATCATATGCTATTAACTACTGCTGTCTGTCAACTAAAATCATGTACTGTCAGCTATTGTTGTGTTTGTCATATAAAATCACATACTGTCAGCTATTATGTCTATCATTTAAAACCATATGATGTCAGCTATTTTTATGTCTGTCATCAAAACTCACACTGTCAGCTATTGTTATGTCTGTCATCTAAAATAACACACTGTCAGCTATTGTTATGTCTGTTGTCTAAAATCACATACTGTCAGCTGTTGTTATGTTTGTCATCTAAAAATCACATAATATCAGCTATTATTATTATCTCTGTCATCTAAAACCATATGGTGTTAGCTATTGTTATGTTTGCCATCTAAAAATCATATTATATCAGCTATTGTTATGTCTGTCTTCTAAAACCATATGGTGTTAGCTATTGTTATGTTTGCCATCTAAAAATCATATTATATCAGCTATTGTTATGTCTGTCATCTAAAACCATATGGTGTTAGCTATTGTTATGTTTGCCATCTAAAAATCATATTATATCGGCTATTGTTATGTCTGTCTTCTAAAACCATATTATGTTGGCTACTGTTATACTTGTCATCTAAAAATCACAATGTCAGATATTGTAATGTTTGTTAAAGCCATGTGCTGTTAAGCCTATTATATGAAAGCATTCTTCTGAAAAACGTTCATTGTCAAATCTGTCTTCTCAAAAAAATATGTTCTCAGGTCCAGTGGTGGATCCAGAACAAATCTGAAGAGGGGGAATTTTGTACTGGGAGTGCCACTATCACCGTGTACAAAAACATATAAAATCACATCTTATTGTTCAGCAGTAGAGCGGCTTAATCAGCTTATTCCATGTGTAAACTTATTAACTTACTTACATGAAAGGTTAAACTGTAGATCTTTTTTACTTACTTTGGAATCTGTGTGCTTGTCTTTTTGACCACAATTAAATTTTCTGGTTCCTAATCTTTGTATTTCATAGTGACCATTCTGCCATTGGTACCATATAACACCATTCTGAGGTCACGGTTCAAAAACCTTGCAATAGCTGCACATAGAGGGTACCTGAAGAACATGGCGACATAAATACTCACTTTTACAACTTGTATAATATGATATTGCTTGTGTAATTCATTCGATATGAATTGTTAGTTTGCCTGGATATCCAATATTTTGTCATAAAAATTCAGTATAAATGCAACTCAAGTTTTTGAAACCTGTATGCTGCATTTTGATAAACAATAATAAACCATTTTTTAATAAGAAAAAAAAAGAGTGCATAAGCGGCATGACCCTTGAAAAGTGGTGCACACAAGACAGTGTCAAATCTAGCTTCTGAAATAAAATATATCCTCGGGTCTGTTATCTGAAACCAAACATGTTGTATGGAACCAAATATATCTTCAAGCCTATTTTCTGAAGCCAAATATTTTGTTAGGTTTGTCTTCTACCCATACAGTGTAGTGCATGTTATGTCAGTCATATATCAAACCTGTTATTTAAAAACAGACACATTCAATTATATCATTTGAAAATACAGTTTTGATGTGTCATCTGATTGCACATGCTTTTAGGTTCATCATATGAAAGCACGTATTGTCAAGAATTTTGTAATTAAAATCAAAATTAAATTTCAAGTTCATTGCTCTTTATTGTAGCAGGTTAACTAGTTTTATAGTTTAGTGCAGTGCTCCGTGTTTTTTCTTTATTTTTCATTGGTGACATTAATAATGGTATATTTTGTTTTTACATCTGTATACTATACATAACTACTTTGAATTTTTTATTTAAAAAGAATATGAGTGTCTTAGGTTCAGAACACATTTCTGAACTTGGAATAATTTTTACATTTAGATCCAGAGAAAGACCCTGAGTGCACATGAGCGATTATTTGGAGGAGCCTCTACCTCTCCTCTTTTAACGTCTTCCACAGAGCACAAGTCGAGTAGTCATCAGTCTCTGATAAGCCCAAGGCTTCATGGACAGCTCTACAGAAAACCTAAACGGAGACATCATACCATTACTGGTACAGGATCACAGCAATTTCTTGACCAATCTTCTCCCAGAATGGTAAGTTATTTATCATGATAGGTGAATGTACCTGAGAAAGTGTTCCATACATATCAGTGACATAGAGAATTCTTTTAAGTTAAAAATCTTTTCAAAATTGGAGATTAAAAAGGATCAAATTTATTTTGTGAGCTTCATTTGTTGTCTACATCATGCATGTAAACAAGGAATTTTAGATAGGAAGAATACATTCAATTTGATTAAATTACTTGTGTTTCAATACATCCAAAATGTTTTGAAGTTTCTTTTCTTTTCAAAAGTTTGGTTTGGTGATGTTTGATTTAGTGCCTCTAAATAGGATACATTACTTACATAGAAAAACAGCAAAATATAAATCAAGAACAATCTCGAAGTTGATGTTTGTGTTTATTTCTCTCATACCCCTATGAGAATTTATAGTTAGGAAAACAATTTAAGTAAAACTTCTCAAGTTATTGGTACAAAAAGTAGTAGTTATATGTAAGAAAAGTGTCCACACACACTTCTGATATTGTTATGTTGTCAAACAGTTTATCAGAATTATTTCCCAATTCTGTATTCGTTTATGATCGCATCATTTTCAGATTTTTTTAATTATATTACTCAGGATACATAGTGAGTGTATAAAACAAAAATTTTGTGAAATTTTGAGCTTTATTTTTTCTGCTGTTTAATTAACTCATGGAATTGTTTCAAATTCCTTCAAATTTCTAAGAAGTTGTTGTTCTTATTTTAAGTTTGGCCCATCATCACGACATTTCCACATGGATCGCTGCTCACGCACAGCAAGCACACCAGATATTGTACGGAGTACAATACGAAAAACAGAAGTATTTGATGAAAGAATTATTGATCGAGAAGTAAGTTTCTGATATCAAATTTTTAACAGTTCACTAGGAATTATTCTATGTATTCATACAGTTATGATATAAAATTATATACAGCTTTGATATTCTGTAAACTTGAGACTAAAAATGATTGTCTTCAAATCATAAGCCATGTTTTAGAATTAGTAGAACACTGCTTAGTATGTACAAAGTGCTTTGTGCTTTTAATTGCCAAAAAAAAATCCAATAATAAAACTGGATATTTTATTCTTTACAGTATTAAATAATTCATCCTCCCTTCAATGATCAAAAAACAGTTACTCAGTTTCAATGTACAACATGAAATTGTCAATGGTGTGTTTACTGAAATATTGAAGTTTATATTTCATGTCCCCTAAATGCATTTTATCATTCAAAGTCTATATTTTTTATTCCATGTTAAAATTTCAAACTTAGGTATAGTAGCAGAAGTATTTTACTGAATTTTTTTTTTCCACTAGCTTGGTCTTCCTCAGAAAATTGACATTCCAGAACGCTACATAGAAGATGAGCCAGAAAAATTGTCAGCTGCTGAAAAAATCAGAAGAAACCAAAAGGCAGAAAATATCAGAAAAATGCTCTCAGAAGCAACAGCGTAAGTGTATAGCAGTAAGATATTGATATTTGTTTTCAAAGTTATTTCTCTAATTGTTCTTTTTTCTTCTCAAGTAAATTTTATCACTGTTTGATAGTGTTTTCTTATGTTTTGTGTTCAAATTAGTTTTATTTCTACATTAAAGTTTACTATTTATTACAATATTTTCCTTTTCATAATCACTCTTCATTTTTGATATTGCCTATTACTATATTTACTGTGTAACAAGAAATTATTTAAACAATTTCAACATTAATATTTTTAAGTGGGTTTTATTTCGAATTTTATTTGAAAAAACAAAAGGCTTACAGAATAAATTTTTCATGTTATTGTTTAGTTATGAAGAACCAACCAAAATGGAAGGAACTGAATCGGAGACAATGATCAAGAAAGTGAATGAAGAGAAAAAGAAAAGAGCCCATCTTTTAGCTCTTAATCATACTATTGCCAAAGAAGTGATGGAGAGAAGCAAACTTGTTGCAAGTAAGGCAGGAAATTGCCTAGCCAATCGCACTTATGCTTTTAATGTGTTCTCTGTTTGGTGAAATGTTAGTGAAGTAAACCAAGAAATTTAAAACATATTACAAAGAGCTAAGAGTATGATTTGGTAATATTTCTAAAATAAGGATATTATTTTATATTTATATGGGTTAAAATATTATTCTATAACAGTAAAAATCAGTTTATATTTTATTTAATAATAGCTAATTAGGCCAGTAGCCAAGAAGCAGCCCTGTATTAAGGAAATGTGTTGACATTTTGTGGTTTGGATATATACTCTAATGCTTTCTTCAAGTCTGTTAGAAAAGGTTTTCTTTAAACATATTGCTAGCTGTATATCTTGTAGTTTAAAAGTAGAACCTTATAGTTAGTTAATGTTAAAAAAAAGATTAGATTCTGTGTCAAGTAGATAGTGTTTCTGTTTGACTCAAAGTTTCTTTATGGATGCTGATAAATTACTAACACAAATGTACATCCATGGCTAAAAAGGATAGGGTTTAATACGGAAAAATAGAACAAAACAAATAAGATAAAAACCTCTAAACTGTGTGAGGATTGTTACAAAATCTTGGCAATGAATCAAAATTTGAATAACTAGTTTACAAGCTGATCAGGAAAAAAAGTTGAGACTTATAGTTAAGCTTAATTTGTGTTTGTTTGAAATCTTTGTTTTAGCACACACACAGAACTGACTCACAAAATGAATAAGCACGAATTAAGGGAGGTAATACATCAAAAATGTTATTATTATTATTATCACAGACATTTCATAAAGCTAGTTATATTAAAAACTTGAAAGTTCATTTTAAATAGATCTAATTTATTCCACAATAATGATGATTACATAATGTAGGTTTTAGAAATGGTTATTGAGCCCGATTATAATGTTGTGTAAGAAAGTGTAAAGTTAAGAATTTATTTATATTTTAAAAGCTATTTTTTAAAATGAGATTGAGATTAAAATATACATAATAATGACATGCATTATAATGGTATTCTAATACAGAGTGATGTTTTTATACATTCAACATTTTGTATTTGTAATAACTGTAACATATGATGTGTGAATGGTATGAAACTTGACAACAGTGCTCTGCACACAGTGGATGGTATGTTTAATATGCCCTCTTTGCTGTGATATATCACTACACACATCTCTGTGAATTAGTTCCAGGGAAATTCCATATATTTTTTTATTATTCGATCCTTAATCTACTATAGTGTATGTATTACTGTAGAATAGCCACAGAAAAACAATGTCACATGGGTTCACAGAATAACCTACTTCATAAGACGTCAGGGAACCTATTGAAAGTCCAGCACAGTGTTTGCTACTGCCCTGCCACCTTCTGTACCTCAATTTCCAAATGTTTAATGCAATTTTGCTAAGTTTCATACTGATCTTATGTCAAACCTCAGAGTTATTACAAATTCAAGTTGTAAGATGTGTAAAAAATCATCTGATAGTTTATAACATACATGTCTTTCTAACTTATAATTTTACCTAAAGTCCTTATTAGTACTTAACAAATTTTACACAATTGGAGTTTTTTAGCAGTTGCAGTTGATAGGTTAGCCTTTTCAATTCTCATCATTAAGTGGGATATGTGTTGATGTAAATTAGTACTGCTGGCCTTTTTGGATACCACAAAAAAAATTGGCACTGAACCAATAAATCCTCACAACTTTGACCTTTTTAAGTTTAAGGAAAAGTGTTGTTTGGTTATCTTGGAGGGTTGTAGCACTAGGACAGTTTGAAAAGTTAAAAAGTATTTTAATAGTAGTATTAAATAGGTTAACCTGCATAGGACTTGCAATTAAATCCCATTAGGTGCAAGTGTTGGAAGAATATGCACGTAACTAATGAGAGGATATTCCAAGAAAATATCTGCTTTTCATCATGCCACATTCAGTAAATCTGTGGGCTTGGCTCTGAATTAAATAGTTGAAGAAGACTTGTTTTAGAAGCAAATAGTTGATACAGACTTTACCTTGAAGCAAATAGGAAATGTAGACATGACCCAGAGACAAATAGTTAATGTAGACTTGATCAAGAAGCAAAAAGTTGAAGTAGACTTGATCCAGAAACAAATATTTAATGTAGACTTGATCCAGAAGCAAAGAGTTGATGTAGGCTTGATCCAAAAGCAGAGAGTTGATGCAAACTTGAGCCAGAAGCGAATAGCTGATGTAGACTCAGAATCGCTTATTCTATAAAATGTAAAATGTCAAGGGAATTTCAACAGAAGTAGCAAAAGATAACTAATGAATCTTCCAGTAAAAACAAGCCAGTAAATCAGTGCAAAATATTAACATGCTGAGGGGAAGGGAAGACTAATGTTTTACATTGTATTTCCTAGAACCACTAAACATCATTAATCTTTGATAAATAATAGTAAATAGCATGTTTTGTTTATATGTGAGTGCCTGATAGTACCTATTGTTCATTGTGCATTAGTTGATCAGATATTTTGGCATGCATATTTTATTTTCAATTTGAATTTTATTTGTTTTCAGTTTGAATTTTTTTGTTTTTACAGCTCATGTCTTTAAACAAGATCTCCCAAAGTTCTTATAATGAGGTTTGGCTTGTGTTTTTTTTTTATTATTTTTTGTAATAATAATAATTATCAATTAATTTCATATTTTATGTTTTATCGAAAGTTTGGATTAGTAAAAACTAAAGAAAACAATTTAAATGTGACACACTATTATAATCAGCTTAACTGAGATACTTGTTGGAAGAAAGACATTTTCTTCATACATTTACTTGAAGCATTTGTTCATATAAGCAGAAAGTTTTAGTTACTTCCAACTTTTCTTTAAATATGGAGAAAGACTTTTGCTTGAGTATGGAGTATTGCATTCTTTGATTTATACATAGAGAAGTTTGTTTAATATTTACAGTTAACTGTTGAACTTTAAAAAGTTCTAGATTTTGAATTTGGAAATACACTTACCTGGTTTTGTACATTTCATTACTTATATAACTTTGAGTAATTTTTTCCAAGCTAATTTTCCAAATAATTTTTTTACTTGGAAAAACTAAAATATTGAATGAAGTTATATACATTTACTCTCTGTGTAAAATATATTACAATTCTTATTTATGTTTTAGCCTCATCTAATTATTTTGCAGCTCTGTTAAAAATCTCAAATATCATTCATCAAATGTTAATTTCCCTTTTAAAAAAAAGGTTTTTTCTTAATTATAATATTTTTCCTGATTATTACTTCAGTGATAGCAACTCTGGAACGTTTAGATCCTGACACAGTACGTCAGAAAGAAGAAGAAGAAGCTCAAGACGAAGATGATGAAGACTTCAGCCCAGTTCAACCTCTGCCTGTAATACAACAGCGAGAAAACTACCTCACTTAAATTTACATTCATGCAGTGGTTGTAAGATAACATCCAGATCTGTATCTCATCATATAAAATTGAGATTGAGAATTTTCAGTAATGTCTTAGAATACCCAACATAAAAACAGGCTTTCATGTTAAGTAATCAGTATCCATATGTGTAATGTAGCTGTATTTTGCATAGTTCAAAAAAAATGACCAAATATACCGAGGACTGAGCATTTATTGTTCTTAAACACTTGATGATGGGTAAAGCTAACAAGATTCTGAGTATTTATATGGAGTGGATAAATAAACATTGTATATTTCCAGTCAGGTGTTTTCCTAGGTTAAATAATTATTTTTGTTGAGAATCCTATTTTGAAGTGGCTGAGTCTTTCGGTGTCAGTGAATGAGATCCAGTTGTACTGGTTGTCGTACATGTTTGTAAAGAAACAAAACGTATTGTGTTAAGGTAACATATACCTTGATTTAAAGCTCACAACTAAAGATAGTTTCTTTTTAATGTTGGTTATTTGTCTAGGTTGTTGGTTATAATGAAACTATTGGGTTAAGTTTAAATTTTTCATGTTCTGTACCTTAGACAATGACTTTTCTTGGATATGGATCATGGTTCTATAACAAAATACCATTTAATATTATTGTAATAACTTTTATGAATGATTGTATTAATACACTTTCTAATAGTTAATATTCATGAGCGTGCTATGGGTAATACTTGCTGTTTTCATGAGGAGAATGTCGGTCCTGAAAATATTGGAAATGTAGTCTTTAATCCACATGTATATTAAATAGTTTTGGTGTTTAAAGAAAGTAGAAGATACACTTTTCTTGATGATGAAAGTATTATTTTAATTAATTAACCTCAAGTTTATCCAGTAATATCTCATATATTATTTCTAATTTTCTACATGGCAAACCACAAGGCATTATTTGAAGATTAGTTTGACTCAAAATTAATCTGCAACTATTAACAACTGCGTGACAGTTGTCTTACTTAGTCCTCGTCATTCCAAATGGACTCAACCCACCTTTACCATCTTGTTCTGTCCTGAGCCAATCCTTATATGTGTTTCTAGTGATTCTTTAGTTTTTTAGTTCTACCTTTATTCTACACCAGGTAACATTCAGCCTTCCTCTCCTACATTTCTTGGTTGATGTCTAGAAGAAGACTGCTTCTGTGGGAATGTCTGTTTATTAACTAGATATAAATTATTTATGTAGTACTTGTAAATTTCTTGAAAGTTAATTATTTTGGCCAACCTTTTTTTAATAATTTGTTTTTTTGAAAAACACCATAAAGCTTTTTTATGTTTTGATATAATTGCAAATAATTTCCCTGAATAACAGTAATCAACTAATTAACTTTTTGAACATTTAAAAAAGAAACAAATAAGACCAATGTTATGAACTTTTTAAGTTGTGAAGAAGGAGATTTACGTTTTCAGAAAACATTTTCATGACATTTTGATGCCTTGGATACACATATCATAGCTGTACATGTGATAGTTGGAGAGTGTGATAGTTTGATATGCTCATTTAAAATTTTTTCACATTTGGAGGAGGAGATGTGATTATTTAATGATGTAATAAAACCTGTAATGAAAAATAAACATTTGATAGAATATCTAATTAGAATATATATTGTATGTAAGCTGATAAACATGATAAAAGGACTGTTTCTTTAGTGTTTATTTTTTAATGAAATACTGCCAAGTTAATCCAGTTTCATTTGATACAGTATTATGATAGTGGTACAAAGAAGTAGTAAAGTTTGTATACTTGTTTTTGTACATTATTGATATATTTTAGGACAATTGATCAAGTATTAAATCTTTATGACAATATTATACTAACTTTATTGTTTTAGCTGTTGAATGTTTAATTTTGTTTATACAACTACCAGTATATTTTTAATTACTCATGCATTGGTTGTTACTTGTATTGCAACTATAGTCATATTAGTTGTAGATTGCATCATCAAAATTGTTTAGTGTTCCTTGTAAAACAGAACTGTACAATGGTAGCAACATGGACTGGAACCATCAAGGCTGTACAATGGTAGCAACGTGGACTGGAACCATCAGGGCTGTACAATGGTAGCAACGTGGACTGGAACCATCAGGACTGTACAATGGTAACAACATGGACTGGAACCATCAGGACTGTACAATGGTAGCAAAATGGACTGGAACCATCAGGGCTGTACAATGGTAGCAACATGGACTGGAACCATCAGGACTGTGCAATGGTAGCAACGTGGACTGGAACCATCAGGGCTGTACAATGGTAGCAACATGAACTGGAGCTATCAGAACTGTGCCCTGATGGTTCCTGTCAATGTTGTTACCATTGCACAGTCCTGATGGTTCCAGTCCATGTTGCTACCATTGTATAGCCCTGATGGTTCCTGTCCATGTTGCTACCATTGTTGTACAGCCCTGATGGTTCCTGTCCATGTTATTACCATTGCACAGTCCTGATGGTTCCAGTCCATGTTGCTACCATTGTACAGACCTGATGGTTCCTGTCCATGTTGCTACCATTGTACAGTTCCAGTCCATGTTGCTACCACCATCAGGGCTGTACAATGGTAGCAACATGGACTGGAACCATCAGGAGTGTGCAATGGTAGTAATACGGACTGGAACCATCAGGGCTGTACAATGGTAGCAGCATGGACTGGAATAACAGAACTCTTAAGTGGTTACTATGTGGACTGAAAACATTCAGACTGTACATGATGCCTTGGATACACGTATAATTGTATCAGAACTGTACAATGGTAGCAACATGGACAGGAACCATCAGTGCTGTACAATGGTAGCAACATGGACAGGAACCATCAGGGCTATATAATGGTAGTAATACGGACTGGAACCATCAGAACTGTACAATGGTAGCAACATGGACAGGAACCATCAGGGCTGTACAG